TTTTTTGCCACAATATAGATTTTATGTAAGTACCTTCAATATTTAATTAAATTAATATAATATTTTTATCCGACTTCAAAAGGAGGAGTTTCTCAATTCGATTGGTATATTGTTTTTCGATGTATGTACACCGATTACGTTGAGATTTATGATCCGATTTACGTGATTCTTCTTTAGTTTGATGTAGAATAGTTGCCATTTTTACCCATAAAAAATTACCATAGTTTGGCCAAGTAGTTTTCATTTTATGAACATTTTTACAAAATTTTAATGTTTGTCATCAAATCTTGCAAATTAAATTTGATCTACTTCCCGGTTACCGGTTGAGCTGAAATTTTGTATACATGTGTAAATCGCGAGACAATGCAATATTTTTATGACATGGTGCTGATCTGATGATGGAGCTGGAAGGTGGCAAAAGGAACTTCGCAATGAAACGCCAGAGCCTCATCGCGTTCGGGTACATTTGAATCGTATTGACGAGTAGTTTGTCTTTCACTTAGATAAATAAATAAATAAACAAATAAATTAATTAATTAATTTCATAGGTAACCAGGATCTTATGATGGAGCTCCATCTTCAGCCGTCCATGGGCATATGCATAGGGTTGCAGATGCATTTTCTCCTTACAATAAAGTGTGCTCTGGCTACCTCACTCACCAGACAAAACGCAGAAGTACTTTACGCCGATCTTCTGTGAGGTCTATTCTGTGAGGTTCCTATGATCACTCTGTAATGAAACGACTGAACCCTATCGAGTTTCGGCTCGTTTGATTCGTCTTGTCGATTTCTTTAGTGCTAGATGGTAACCAGGGTCTGATGACAGAGCTGGAATGTGGCCATAGGAACTCAGTAATTAAGGAACACAACTGCGTCGAGTTTGATTGGTCTTAATGGGTGGACCGTTTTTGACGGGTGGTGGTTTAGTGGACGTGAGTATGCGACCCCATCTTTGGGAAGTAAAGTTTGTTCGTTCCGTTGGTATGAATGTGGATTCTGTCTGTGATTAGATGGATTAGATGGACGAACGCTGAATATTATGAATGAATGAATGAATGACTGAATAAATATTTTTTTTGTTATTTATGAAAAAAAAATTTAACGTGTACGATGAATTTTTTTGTGTACGGCTATTTTAGGAGTTTTCATTTGGGTTGATTATATATTATTATTATTAACCCGTGTCCCGATAGTCCCGTCTTAGGCTACTTGTCATTGAAGTGGAGCCAGCGTGCGGAGTAGTGGAATTGAAAAATATTATAACCAATACGACTACATAAAATCTGGTAACGAAGAAATAAATAAAGAGAAATTTCAAAAATAGGTAAGCCTAACAATAGCTACTTAAAAAAAATACTATACAGGGAGGCTATTCTAAGTGTACCCATTTTTTTTATTAAATTACATACATAAATAAAGTTATTGTAAAAAATGATAAATATTTAAAATCACTCGTAATTAATTAATTACATTCATTTGAACTTATCTCAGAAAGTGCGTGATTTATGGGCAACTCATGTATTTTACGCGCGATCATTCATAACTAACACGCAGACAAGTTCGTTTCAAAAGTATACGACGCATTTATGAATGACTACCGCATTGTCAACAAGTTCTGTTTTTTAGGGAATAGAATGCCAACTTTAATTTAAAAAAAAACGTAATAAACGTATCAATAAACGGCTATACTACTGAGTTTGAACCTCCTGTATGAATTTGGGCACCTTTATAAAAGCCACCTGTATAATATATGACAATAAAAAGCAACGAATTGTTATGAACAAAAAAAGAATTTTGCAGATCCGTCTATATATGACGAAGTTATGCCCGAACATACATAAAGAAAAGGTAAACATCCGAATTGATAACCTCCTTCTTTTTGAAGTCGTTTAAAAATACCTACTTTTTACTTGTATCTATGATTATAAAAATTTAATTTTAACTTCTTATCAATTGACCACGACTACGTGACCTCCCCCTGCCACCAAACCTGGATCCGCCCTTGCCTCCCGTTTGATTGAACCGATTCAGATGAAACAAAGCCTAGATACTGCCCCACGCTTTGCTTAAGTATCCAGTGAAAACTGCATCAAAATCCCATAAGTACTTTTCAAGTTTATCGCTAACAGACAGACAAAAACTCCAAAAATGGTTTTTATATTTCCTATATACTATATACACTTTTTATGATACCTTTTTTCATAAATATATTCAATGATACAGACACGCCGATTTTTCTCTTTTATTATAGTAGACATAGATGACAAAACAAAAAAACTACTGATTATATTGGAATCGAAATATGTTGTTTTTCAGTGTTGGAAGTGATTGTGTTTCTTTCAATTACAAATATTGGGCGTATAACGTAACCTTATTTTTTATTAGGTGCTTCAGCTTAGTCAACCTTCAAGAAGGATTTTACCTCACTCACTTCGTATCTCCATTCTAGCTTTATTCTGAGCGCAGAATATTATTTATGCTTTCGCGGTACAACAGTTGCTGCGTCACTGTAGCTCACTGCGTCCGATGAAGCTTTAATAGTCTCGGGACTGAAAGCAAAAACATCAGTTAATACAAGATACAAGACTGTAGCTCAGTAAACGATTCACACTGCACCCAATATTGCAGGTTCGATCCCCATATGTGGCGAATATATGTAAAAAACAACCTTTTTTTTCGGCAAGAATCCGATTCTGGAAGCATTGCTAAATATGCAAAATAAAAAGTAAATACTTGTCGAGATTTTAAAACCATAAGTGTATTGGCAGCTTAGCTCAGTTGGCTAGAGCGTTTGGGTTTGTCACGCAAAAGTCGAAAATTTTTGAACAAATTTTCGATGACACATTTAAGTTTCACCTTGGCGCCAGTAATAATAAAAAAAAATATTTGCGGTCGCAATATATTCAATAAGCATTGAAAGTTATTGTTTCCCTTCTCTTCCTCGAGGCTTTTTGAAAATTGACCTTAGATAACGCTGGGTGTTATAAATGAAATAAAATAACTTTTAATGTTTGTTTTATTCAAAAACACACTTCAAATACTGGATAAGTCTTATATCTCTTCATTATCTGGTAAGAATACTAAAGTTATCATCGGCTTATATTAATAGTCGATATTAACATAAAATCTTATATTTTATAAATAGAGCTTATCGATTACCTTGAATCTTGATATATTTTGTCAAAATGGACATTATGAGTAGTATGTATTGTGAATTATATATTTAACACTAATAACAACTTAACAATGCCTGTTGACTCTAGCGTGCGGTTTCATACATACGAGTTATTTTTATGCATAACGTTAAATTTAAATTAAATATATTAAGGTCATACACATACTTTTATAACTCATTCAATTTAATTAATTAAAGGCATTATTTAAATGCGTCTAAAGAATTAATTTATACGCGTCTACTGTGATTAATTATTCTAACAATAAGTATAACAATTTTTTATATGTTCGACTTTTTTAAAAATTGTGATGAATGTAGAAATAACGAGAGATAATGTAAAAAAATTGTGGAAAAATCTAAATTGAATGGTATCAGATTCAGTGAAGGTTTCTCATGCATCACTATTATGCCTTTGTATGTCACACGTTTGCTTAAGTACATTTTAGTAATTTTATCACCCAGTAGATAAAAATGCACGGAAATCTTTCTGCATAATTAGCTCTAGCTAATTTCAATGGCTTCGCTTTGGAATACGCTGATCATAAATGTAACATACAAAGTAGATCTAAACATAGATTTCAGGAAGAATAAATATTGAAGTATGTCGAATTCCACTACATGTGCTAAAAGATAGGAACGTCTTAACAGAGGGGTCAATTTTCATTTAGATTAACATGAATATGTAGCAAAAACAACATTTTTACCTAATACATGACATGTTAAGTTAAATTTTGACAAATGCATTTTAGAATGGCATATATTTTTTTAAAGTGTGCCGCCTTTATTAATTATTACTGTTGATTATTTTAAAGACATTTAATCTTCCTTAACATTATTTTTCCTAAAATTGCGATGTATTCTCGCGATATAATACATTTAAGGAGGTGAAGCAGTTAAGGATGGGGTCTAATCTAATTTAAATCCTAATTATTTTAACAATAATTTAAATGCATTCGTAGACATTCCACTCTTTGTCAAATGAAGGTTTGAATTTAAGACGGAAGTGCAAATGTACGACTGCAAAGCTAGGTAAGTGGGAAATGAGGTCTCTAAGTTCGCAAATAGACTTACGTAACTAAATATGAATGTTTTTATACCTAACAACTTTTTACAAACTTTTTACTTCTTACCGCTCAATATATTAACTTTCTTCAAGAGACGTACACAGTAAGGTAAATGCAATAACACGGTGGTTAAGAGCGGACTACTATAATTCAAAATTTCCTAACTTATAAATTTAAACACATGAAAAGCGAGACAAATAGTCGAAATTTGTTTTGTAAGCACTGTATCCCTTTACTCTCTGATAGAGCAGAAGCTGGTGCACCAAATTAATAGAATGAATCACTGTTAAACTGTGTATCCAATCTACAGTTTACATTTAAAACAAAAAAGCATGAAATAACCAAGGATTTAGTGTAACCAAAACGTAGTGATAATAAGGGTATTGCTGCAGCTATCAATTATTTTAGTAACTACATTAATTTCGAATACTGTTTATTCATATATCTGCAAGTGAATTAATTACATAACATTACTTACATCTACTTTACATGAAACTTAACGCTAGCTTTCATCCTCGCGAGTAGGTGGGTAACAAACTCCTCTCACACGCTATGTTATTGAGATTAGTAATAACAATTTAAGCTTGCACATAGACTACGGTGGTGCGTGTTGTTTTAGTCATTCTGTTTACATTTATCTCGTGACATACAGAGCAAATAAATTTTAACGAAATGCGCATTTGTGTGTTCCGTCGCCGTGACATTGGGACATTTTATATGGACGCGTTGGAGCCGGATCTATGTGCAGGTTTTCGTTGTCACCATGCTTCTGTGTAGCGTATGTCGTACTCTTGCAGTTGGGGCAGCCTGCGGCGGAGTATTTCGAACGCTTCGGCTGACAGCTTGGTGCTGTTCAGGTTCAAACGTCTCAAACTCGATAGTCCTGCAATTGAAATTTCCGTCTTACGTCACATCGACCCGATTGGCGTAGTGGATAGTGAACCCCCTTTGCGCCAGAGGGTATGGGTCCGATCCGCACTTCTGGAAAATTGATGTGTGGTGAACACAGCGCTTTTCCGCTGTCTGGGTGGTTATATAGTAACTATATTGTGTAGTTATTCACAAAAGTAAAGTATGTTTATCAGTTATCTAGTACCAATACTACAAGCGTTGTTGCTTAGTTTGGGATTAGAGAACTTTGTGTAAATAAAACAGGTCTATAAAAAAGCAACACAATCATGTTTTTTGTATGGGAGCCCCACTTAAATATATTTTTGTGTTTTTTAATATTTTTTGTTATAGCTGGAATAGAAATACATCATCTGTGAAAATTTCAACTAACTATCAGGTCAGTCTACCTATCACGGTTCAGATAGAGTCTGGTGACAGACGGACAGACAGATAGCGGAGTCTTAGTAATAGAGTCCCGTTTTACCCTTTGGGTACGGAAACCTAAACTGAGTGCTGAAAAGTTTATAAGTAATAGTTATTACGTACATTCTAACGTCTCGAACTTATATAGTTCAAGTTACCACCTCTCCACCTTACAGCGCGCCCTTTTGTCGGTTCGACCAGGAAGCAGTCACAACATTTTTGTTATCCATGAATAGATTGTTCGTAGTCTGGTTATAATTGGCATTCGTTAAGTAAGATATTTGCAATCTCTTGCGAGTCGCGACACAAGACATTCACTAGACAGTCTTTTAAGAAAACTACAGTGAAACAATAGTGTGAAACATTCTCAGTACATAATAAAATATACCGACTTCGGCTGAACTGAGTAAAGTTTATGCGTATACGTTTATGCCTGGGCGTGCCGAAGAAACTAAACTTGTTAGTTTAGACTCTAAATGATATTCACATGTGTCACAAGAGCACAATATGGAGCATTGAATATTATATGTAAACGATATCATTTATATTTCTTGTAAGTATTTGTTATCGATTCTGTGATTACCTGATAAAGCTTCTATTCCCTTGTCCGAGACCGGAGTTTCGCAAAGGTTGAGCACTTGCAAACGCGGTAGATGCTCCGCAATAAGCTGAACGCCACTGTCGCCGAACTTAGTTGCCCACAAGTTCAAGTATCGTAGTGACGGTAACTGCGAGAAAATAACAATATCATCATACTGCACTTATCATGCAGTAAGTGTTGGCAATTTTTTGACGGCCTTACGTTAACCCACCTTAGGAATTTATGGCATACTCCAGTAATATACAAAATCTTTGGACACAACATAGACGGCCGGTAAGAACAAAGCGTGGGGGAAAGAGAAAGTGTACGTCAGCAAGGCGCGATAGAAAGTGACGGGAGTTCTCACCTTGATGAGGTGGTGAGCGCATGCGCTGGTGACGCTAGTGAAGGCGAGCGATAGGCACTCGAGGTTGCCGAGCGCTCCCGCCTCCAACAGAGCGGCAACGTCTGCGTCCGTCGCGCGAACGGGCAAAGCTAAGCGGCGCGGACCGCCCTCCGCTTGCTGCAATCCCAGTCTCGCATCAAACATTTTGTAAATGCTACCCTAACCGAAAGGGCAGTTATAACGTCGGAGAGTAACATCGAGGACAAGGATGTGTGGAAATGACTCTTGCAGAATCAAGCAAAATCTCTACTCTGTCTCTGCTGATTTTATTATTTAAATAAATAAAAGCTAAGACCGCAGAGTTTCCTGCCGTTTCTTCTCTGGACAGGTCTAGTTTAGTGACTCAGTGGTGTTGACATAAGATCTTAACAAACCTATATTGATGAAACTTTGAATCATTTTATTCCACGAATAAAGTTCATTCGATATTGAATGAATACATATGAAATTTCGAGTTGTAAATCTTATTTTGTCTCGTGGTTTTACTAGTTTTACTATCGGATGACAGTATATTTGAACGCTTTATATATTTGAACGCTTTATAGCCATGGCATTGCTTATTTATATTGGCATTGTCAATTCGCAGTTTTATGTCGGCAGACAAAAATGACAACCGAAGAAGGTTAGAGCAATATATCAATATTTCTAACGAAGATTGAATTGAATGAAATTTGATAGATGATCAAACTCAATCAAACATTGTGACCAAACTTGCGCCAGGTAAAGGGATAGAATCGTCGGTACAAATGTATTATACTTGTACTTAACCACGGAATAGGGATTGTTTTCCAAACCCTTGGTATATAAAGGTAGTAACAATTGCTTAGGTAGAAAAAAAATAACTTTATAAACACATTGTACATTTTTGCAATATATATACATATAAAGACGAATTATTATAAAATGTAATGGCTATTTGATACATCCTTCAAAATTTATTTGTGAAGACGCAAATAAAAGCAATCAAAATTACGGTCATCGTTTTATTGTAGACTGTCTTAAAAACGCAACTGTAAGGGAACACTGTTAACTTATCATGGCACAACAGAGCTCAAGAGCTCTGGTGTGTTCTGTTTGAGAGCCCTAACTAGGTACTAATTGTGCCCCGGTTATCTTATTTTATCTGTTTCACAACAAACTTTTCGTCCATTACCAAGGTATCGGTATATTTAGCCTTGCTCCAAATTGACGAAAACGTCAATGCACAATGTAGGTATTTAAATGTTAGTTAGGCACGACAAAATCAATTAAAGATAATTAAGACCAAAAGAATACGTCACAACTGTAAAGGTCAGAGTGGTTACAAAGATTTTTGTATTCCGACAACGTACCAGCTTCTGCAGATTTTGCTGACGTTCACAGAGATCCTTATAGTATTTTTGTCCCAATTCGGTGCCTTGCAAGGCCGCTATTATCTCCAACTGGATCTGTTCTCCGCTAGCTATTTCCCATTCGAGCATAAGACACAACGCTTCCAACGCGGCAGGCTAAAAGTACATAAATAATTAACATTACTGTAATGTAATATTATTTGTTTTTCTTAAACACGGAGGTTTCCGCCGAATTTCTTTTATTAATCAATAAAGTTACGTTTATCGGTTAAAATATTTGTAAGTGGTAAACTATTCAAAATTTACCGTAAAACAACAACAATGAATTAAAAGAATATTAAGGAACAGCAATTATTTTCTAATGTATACTCACATGTTCAGTTAGAGCGACCAGAAGAAAATCGGGTAGCTGCTTGCTCATGCTTTGGAGGAAACTTTTCCTTTTGCAGCAGCAGTTCAGCAAGGCACCAATCTAGGGGAGATATATTTCACATGAAATCTTTGGCGTATTATCTGTAAATATAGAGGTGACCGAAACTCCGGGTACGATGTTTTGACATTGTTTACGTTGTGACGTCTTTCAAGTCACTATAATGCAAATATTGTGTTGTCATAGTAAAGTTTCAAGGTTTAGAACTATATTAAATAGAGATATTTAAACAAGTTTCGTGAGTAAGCGTGTTGGCTAAATAGACTTCTTGATTAAACATTGGCCGTATCAGTTGATTTCGCTAATGGTTAAATAATTGATTTTTATTGGTGACAATATATTCTTTATACGTATCCATAACAACATGGACGTCAAACCTCTCAGTCTGTCCAATGATCATGGATGTAACGTCGGGAATTAAAGTTTAAAATAAAGGTGATAAAATTCGTAAAAATGTTTTTATTAAAAATTGTTATCTTTCTATTTCTACTTGTAATTAACAAATTTTCTGTTTTATTAAGTTCTCATAGTCGTATAATTATCGTGCAGAAATTCAGGTTGAGTTGGGTATCAGGGTACTCCTTTAAATATTGCCCATGTTTACAGTGTGTCTGGTAAACAACCGAAGACTCTCGAGTCGGGTACCAATTGTTGGAATTTCTTGGACACTGCTCACTCACTCCACCCAATGAAACCGCTTTATACTGGGAATCTACTTTAAAGTAAAGTAACATCCTATACATGTCCCACTGCTGGGCAAAGGCCTCCTCTATACAGAGGGTATCAGGGCATAGTCCACCACGCGGCCCCACTGCGGATTGGCGGACTTCACATATCTTCGAAAAATATATAAAATATGCAGGTTTCCTCACGATGTTTTCATTCACCGCGGAGCACGTGATAAGTCAGCACTTAAAGTTAAAAACTTCATTGGTGCCGGCACCGGGGATCGAACTCAGGTAGCTCGAGTATATTGAATTAAAGGCGAGCGCCCGGACACTGAGCTATCACGGCTCAATCTACTTTAATTACTTATCTATTTATACTTATATACTTATATTAATCTACTTTAATTTACAGTGAATTGAATATGTGTAATAGCCATAGAATCCTGAAGGTACTCAAGGAAGAATAAAATATTTCTTTTATAAATTACAATTGGCATAGCGGTCACAAAACTAACTACTGCGATATCCGTCAATAGATACTTAATACAAACGCGATCATCATCTATCGCCTCATACATGGCTGTAGCGGCTGCTTTTCAGAAAAGAGTCACCTCACCATCGATCCCCAGAGCTCGCAGAGCTGCTGGTGCGGCAGCACGAGCGCGGGGTCGGAGGGGGCCGCGGCGCGCAGCCACGAGGGGGGGCTGGGGCGAGCGGCGCACGCCGGCGCCACGCTCACGTGCGCCGAGCAGCGCGGGTCGCGGGCTAGGGCACGCAGCACGCCGCCCAGCCGCGCCGCCACGCGCGCGCACGCCAGCGCCCCCGCGCACAGCGGCACCGGCTGCAGCACCGCGCCCACCACCACCACCCAGTCCTCGTACTCGCACCTGCCGGGCGCGGATAATGTATGACATATGCCCGACTAATATATAGCAATATACTAACAGTTCTAACTTATTTTTAAATGCAACATACCATAAGAGCAATAGATTTAACATTGTTTTACATATGATTGAAAAACTTATCCATTGATTATATAACTTTGTACAAGTGTGTTTTTCAGTTTTTCTGCACTACACAAGTGCGACTTACATATGGGTGCTTAATTATTAAATCTTAAGTGTGATGAAACCAATTACAACATAATGATGTAGGGATTACAGAAATACGGAGTTTATATTTATAAAACCTCATCATTTGGGGTTGCGGGGAGTACAAATTTTCTGAGGCTAAAATTATTTAAAGTTTGCTTACATAATACTTGATCGTCCCCTTAACAAATGTTATAAACAACATAAGTATCAGCGGCCATAGACCACATTTTATGAGTACTTATACATATACATATATGAAGATCTCTGATTTTATTTCAGGATATAAACCATTTCGGAGTTGTGTCAGAACGATAATTTATACTATAAAACGGAGACTATCGCTAGCAGTAGGGTACTATGAACTGCGATCATAACCGAAGTTAGAAACTCCATTTGAGTGACCCATGGGTTGTGTCGTGCCCCATGTCATGTCACGGTGTCGTCGTCGTGTGCCAGCTAAATTGTTCCTCCTGAGCCCGCGGGCCGTGCACACTCTCCTCTAGCTGAGAACTGCACAGAAAAAAAAAAATCGCCAGCTCACATGTGCTCCAGTATGTCGGCGAAGCAGAGCACGTCGTGCTCGGCGTCGTCGCAGCGGTGCGGCAACGCGCTGCCGCGGTAGTGGTCGTCGAGCGCGGCGAGCGCGACCGCCGCGAGGTTGGGCGCGGCGCGCGGGTGCGGGCAAGCGGCGCGCTCGCCGTGCGTCACGGTGACGAAGCGACGCACGAGCGCCGGCCCCGAGTTGTGCGCGCTCAACGCACTGCGCAACGGAACATGATAACCATTATTTTCCGTCAGATGAAGCTTTAATAGTCTCGGGACTGAAAGCAAAAACATCAGTTAATACAAGACCATTATTTTACTAACGAAAAACAAAACCTACCACATAGGAGTTCCCTAAGTATCTCCGGAGCCCAAGATCCAATACCAATGAAATTAACATGGGAAGCACCAGCTTTAAAATAAAAAAAGAACCTTTCAAATAAAGAAAGAAGAGGTAACAAAGATAAAAAAAAATATATATCCAAATTGAGAACCGTCTCGTTTTAAAGTCGATTAAAAAGGCGCGTCCCATCGTTTTCGCGTTACGCTTGCAGATCGCGTTAATCGCACTGCGCAATGAAAAATGAAAAAGTGCTGCTTTCCACCGTTTGCGTAAATGCTGCTTCGGATCGCTATCACAGTACAGTTATTTTTTCCGATGTAATTATGATTGCACATCATTTGTCGAGTGTCGTAATCGCGCGCCCCGAGTTGTGCGCGCTCAACGCACTGCGCAACGGAACATGATAACCATTATTTTCCGTCAGATGAAGCTTTAATAGTCTCGGGACTGAAAGCAAAAACATCAGTTAATACAAGACCATTATTTTACTAACGAAAAACAAAACCTACCACAAGCATCTCGCTCTGTATTCATTTTATAATTGATTTTCAGGAGTTCCCTAAGTATCTCCGGAGCCCAAGATCCAATACCAATGAAATTAACATGGGAAGCACCAGCTTTAAAATAAAAAAAGAACCTTTCAAATAAAGAAAGAAGAGGTAACAAAGATAAAAAAAAATATATATCCAAATTGAGAACCGTCTCGTTTTAAAGTCGATTAAAAAGGCGCGTCCCATCGTTTTCGCGTTACGCTTGCAGATCGCGTTAATCGCACTGCGCAATGAAAAATGAAAAAGTGCTGCTTTCCACCGTTTGCGTAAATGCTGCTTCGGATCGCTATCACAGTACAGTTATTTTTCCGATGTAATTATGATTGCACATCATTTGTCGAGTGTCGTAATCGCGCGGTCTCAATGTTATTCTTGTTTTATTATTCTTTAGTTGTTATTATGTTACAGTGCTACACATCACTCGTCCCCCAAGTTGTGCGCGCTCAACGCACTGCGCAGTAACAAAAGGGCGTTCCGTCGGTTGCGTAATTATTCCTGTTAATGCTTCGCTTACATGTTAACCCTAATTTGCTAAATATAGACATCAAGAATTCTTTGTGTTCACTCAAACCATAGCCATTATTCAATTAACCAATAAATGTTTTAACTTTATCAGAATGTATTCACTAATTTGTCATTAGGTTAGTCACTGTATTTTTATTTCATTTGACGATCGCTGTCTTTCTTACATAACACAACAGAAATACATTATTACTTTTGATCAATGATTGCCAATTACTGATAAATTGATGGCTTGAAAATCCTTCAAGCGAGACCTTTAAAACTCTAGTGACGGAATTGGCAAGTTTTATTATCATGCATCAGAATTCAGAATGGATATTAGTAGGTGTCCATGGCTTATTAACAATGTAATATTGGCAAATAAAACAAACATGCAATCATAATCAATTATGATTTTGTTTTCATCGATTATTATAATTAAAGTGACAAAATTGTTACTCAGTAGGTACCTAGTAAGCAAAGAAGAGAATTTATAGAGGCACTTACATAAAATCTATAGAAAATTAAACGATCGTCGTGTATCACAAGGCATAAAAACTTTACCTATGAGAGTTCTAATTCGTAGTATCGAGCGAACTGTAATAATTTTTAAAAATATCAGATAAAGTATCATCCCGATTTCCGATGTCAAGGTTGGTCTCAGTGCCGTAGCGGCCAACATGGCCGTTTCGCTTATCAAAAAAAAATGGCAGCTCAATGACAGACGCAACACAACAACCGCATACAAAGGGCAGAGCGTCGAATTTGCATATTCAATTACCTGATATAATCTCGCACAAATCGCCTGGCGTCGGGCGCCTTTCCGAAATCCACGTTCCGGGTGAGGACGCGGCGCACGGGCGGCGCGAGAGCGGGCAGCGGAGCGGCGCGCGGACGCCGCCTGCACAGGCGCGCGAGCAAAGCGCACAGTTCCCCGTTCACGCATCGCTCCGCTAGGAGCGGTGCGGCCGCGCTTGTCACGTTCTCCGCCCACTCCTCCCAATCAGCACTGTCCTTGTTCTGAACGATATGAGAAATTAATAAGAAAACTTTTTGCTTCAGCCAAGAAACATAATAATAAAAAAAATGATTATGTAGTACTAGCTTTTCGCCCGCGGCTTCGCTCGCGTTGAAGCCCTTATATCAATATCTTTCTTTTAAAGTTTTTTCCAATAAAAAATAGTGTCCTTTCTCAGGCTCTAGACTATCTGTGTACCAAAATACATTTAAATCGGTTCAGTAGTTTTGGCGTGAAAGCGAGACAGACAGAGTTACTTTCGCATTTATAGTATGGAAGTATGGATTCCCTGTCTTCTTTCACACGGCACGCAATTTTTGCTTCGCTCAAAACCATTTAGGTATTGATAGATGCAAAATTTCTTACAGCGTTATTCTCCTTATTCTTAATGATATAAGAATTATAAAGTAGACATTCTGTGTATTCTTTGACCTCTTTCAAACGACATAAAAACAAAAATAAAAAAAAATTTCGGCTGATGACATTATCTTGCCATCATAAGATCTTCGCAGACGAGCGTTTGTTATTGATTCTTGTTTGCTTTCACATATTATCGTATTTGCATAAGGCATTTATCGCTGGAGTATTTATTGAAATATAAATGTGAAAACTTCCGTGGTTAGGTTTAAGATAAATTTATTTGATGTTCTTATTCTATTATGCGACTGCCGCTGTGTAGTTAAGGAATATTGCTGTTATTATAAAATGTAGCCCCTTCTGTTAGGCTGAAGTGGTAGCCATTTATTTGAATAGAAAAAATTTGAAAATAAATGGCTACCACCATTTATTTGAATAGAAAAACAAGATAATTTATTATGTACGATATTAAAAATATTGATTAAGGCGCTGTATATAGTTAAGAAAGACCTAAGAATACATTTGGTAAAAAAAATATACTTCCACTGCTTAGGGAACCATTATTTTAAAAACATTTTCTTCATAGAAAAAAAATCATGGATTTACATTTTAACAAATATTGATAAAATTAATATTAGTATTGTAAAATATTATTTCTGAATGGTCATGTATTTTATTGTATTTGTATAACTGATGTTATGCTTTCAGTCTTTAGATTATTAAAGCTTCATCGAACGCAGAACCGGTGGGCTAGCCAGAACCCACGGGTTGTATTGTATTGGTATGTGTATGGCGTATCGTAGGTACAGTAATAATTTCGGAAGCTATTTATATTAGAGCTGTAATTTTATTTTGCTATCAGTAGTTTCTAAGTTTCTGTTACAAACTCGAAATGAAAGTGATTGATGTGTAATTTCCATTTCCCAAAGCTCGCGTGGCCTAGCGGTCTGGTCATTCAACATCACTATCTTTTACTCACATTTGTTATTGCGTTGCCTTTTTTAAGTAATTTATTTATATAATTAGCATCTTACTCTTTGTAGACTTTTAAACTCGTTACTCGTATAAAGTGATATTATTGTATTTCTTACAATTCAAACGATTCGTGTACAATCCGACAGTAAATAGCATCTTTTGATCATTTAAAATTTTAACAGTTTTAGTGGTCTTCTTAATTTAAGCGTAAATTTTTTTTTAAATTCATGATGGTAACAAAAAAAGAAGCAAAAATAACAATTAATTAATTTAAAAATGAGATATCGAGAAATATCTCATTTAAAGCATGTCCTTACAATTGCGACAACAAATGAACACACGTCTAACGATACGTGCCAATAATCATAAAAAATATAAAACCTTGGCTCGTGGGACAGCTTCCTTCGGGATGATTACGCATAACCATAAACCCATGATTCGTCACGAGTTATGACCCTCTGGAGCAAATTTGAGTCACTGCGGACAAAGTCCAACAGCTCGTTAGCAATGTTAATGCGGTTCTGTTTTTGGAATTTTGGGGCGACCATATCTCATGCCTAAATAGGTGAAAACCGAATGATAGGAGCCAATCGATATGTTTAGGTCCTCAGCAACTTCTCTTACGGTGATTCGACGATTGGCCAATACTATTTTCTTCACTTCATAAATGTTTCCGTCTGTTGTTGAAGTGCTAGGGCGTTCGACACGCTCTTCATCGTTCACATCTTCTCGACCCTCTGAGAACATTTTGTCCCACCGATAAACGTTGTTTCTGTCCAAGGTAGCGTCACCATATGCCACAGTCAACATTCGGAACTGGTCCGCGCACTTATTTTTGTTTTTAACACAAAATGTAATACAGAATTTTTGATACATTTTTTGGAATAGGCAAAAATCGAAGACGAGCCTAAACACATGCAAACAAAGCAGCTGTAAAAAATTAACTGAACTTTCAACATGGCCGAATTTTTCGCTATGAGTTGAAGACATAAGTATCAACATATTGCCACAAAAAATCTGTAATCGAAAATACGTAACCCGTGGAATTTTTTTTTGAATATTTTTTTAGGACACATTTTCACACAACATTTTCCAGTAAAGTTTCCGGTTTCCAAACTAAGCAAAGCTTGTACTATGGGTAATAGAAAACTGATAAACATACTTAAACATACTTTTCTTTTGTAAATAACAGTGTCTGGGACACTAGAAAAACACCATGTTCATCACACAATATTTTTCAAGTAGTGGGAATCGAACTTTTCCAGTAGTGGAGAGCGAACCCACAACCTCTGGCGCAAGAGGCAGGTACACTACCCACTACGCCATTCGGATCGTCATAAATTCAAAATTCGCGATACTTTTTGAACAGACCTCGTACATGACACTTTAACCCATAAAGTAAAAACTTTAACATTTCGCGCTTCAATCAAATTCGCATTATCGGCGGCGGAGGAGACGCACGAGTTCCCCTGTTACGACCCTTTTTTGTTAAAATAAACATGCTAAACTAATTAATATACTACACATTTTCGCCTGAACACATTTACGCTTACTACAGCGAGCAATGACGGCATCGTATGACCGCTTACGATTTGTACAACGCAGAGATCCTTTCTCCATTATTGTCGGATGTCAATTTTTGCAATCACCGCATACGTCAATCGGCTTGGCTTAGCGGCGTCCGGGTTTTCCGAGAGTGCGCGAGGTAAACTTTGCGTCGAAGGTTATTTAGGGCGGGGTGTGCGCACGTTCCAAGTGTGAATAAAACAGCCGGCCGCTCACCTCGGAGAGCAGGTCGGTCAGAATCTGCAGGGGCGCCCGCGTCACGCTCTCGTCCTGCAGGGGTGTTGTCATGGCAAAGTCCACCATATTCTGTAAATGATACAGCGTGTATTCGTTAATCGCATTGACAGGGACGGCAGAATATCAAAGGTGTAAATAATCTACCCGGAAGGGAAGGGCCAATAACTATTTTTAGACGTAATTGATCAGGAGAATACAAAAAATCAAAGGCACTTGGTACGCAATAAATGGACGTGAAATGTTTTTTTTTTCTTGGTCATATATATGAGTCAGCACGCTCTGTATATGGCAAATATATCCAATAAAATATTATAATAATAATTCTTGTACATAGACAAAGATATGATAAAATTAGTTGTCTTAAATTGGTCGTCAATATTATCAAGATGACAATGGTCAATTTAACGCTATAAATCATGTTTACCTCGATTGTTTCATACAGTGCATATTTGCATAAAATTCCTATACAGATTAAGATACTTAATTACTTAAATTTGCTGTAAAATAATTTATCGCCCGTATTTTGTGAACTCTATATGCTAAAACTTCGCAGCAAGGTCCGGAAATAATAACAGTATGGTAAATGATAACTTTACGACGGTGTGTGTCAAAGGTAGGTAATTTTTAAAATGTTCTAGACATGGACGCGATCTGCGGTAGAAGTGGTTTTCCTAAAATTATAGTTATCATTTGAAAGATAGAAAAATACGTACCTTTAGTTCTTTTAGTACCACCTCCTTCCTCACTGTTTTCGTTAGAAAATTGCGATACCTTATCATGTTTCTCTGTAACGAATGAGATTAAATGCGTTATTGCAGATTATATGCCATTGCTATATAACTTGGTTCGAAAACGTGATATTCTCAACGTACTTACTTTCCAGATGATGGAATAATACCATTGATCTCTTGTGTAAGCGTCATTAGCCTGTAACAATGTTTTGTTCACTTCAATTCATCAATATTTATGTAAATATTATATTGTATCTTTGACTTTATTATTTAGTCGACCAAATTGTGTCTTCATTATTCCATGAAAATTATATATTATATAGACGCAATATATATTTTTTTAAGATTTCTAAATGATGTAGTTTTATGTAATTTTGTACATTACATTTTTGGTTTTAATTTAATTTTAAATCAACATTCAGAGGAACTTACTTTATTTTGTTTGCGTTTTTATCACAAATATAATTTGTTCTCGCATAATTCTGTACGCTTCTTTTTTCATTACTTTTTTGCCACAGTAAGTGTACTAATGGAAAATATCTAGCTAGGTTGTAACATGTACAAGCACACCTATTAAACTTCTTAAACTTTTGTTTCGTATTGTTAGTTAATATATTTTTAAAGTATTCAATATTTATTATAGGTGAAAATACGTCATTATTAAATATGATAATTGTTGCAAATAATTAAAATATGCTTTAACCTGTAGTAACAGCGAGCCGTTCGGCATGACGATACGCAAACAGTATTTACGGGCGGGATCCCATCTGGATATGCAGTATACCTCTTGCATGCAACTGTATGACATCGGCCGCTCTAGAAGACCGGACGGCTGCAAAGAATATGAATGGTATTTATTCTCACACATATGTATGCGACGTGTAAAGAATTTTAAAATTTTTATTAAAGCACTATAAATATATAAAACCACTAAAAATATAATAGGTTATTATTACTTTTTTATTAATCAGGCTGGTATTATGTGACGCCATGGTACTTTCCCGGACAAGACTTTCCCGGACAATTCATGCAACAGCGGAAGCTGTTGGACGGCACTGCCATAGTCAAAAACCCCGTTTCTCCCTCCGTATCTTGGTTCCCTACTTTGGGTTAAAAATGCTTACTTAGACACATGCAAAAACTGACTTGATAACTGTCTTTCCAAACAATATATGTGATAGGTAGACTAAATTGCGTAAATATACAATGTTTAATAAATGAAGTACTATGTAGTTACGTATAAATGTTATTTTTTTTTGTGGAGAGTATGTTGTTGCACGAATGGGCAGGTCCGTCCGGGGAAGTACCATGATCTCACAGAAGAGCGGCGTAAAGTAGTAGTGTTACACATCTGCGTTTCATCTAGTGAGTGAGGCAGCCGGGGCCAACTTTATTTAAAGGTGGCAACGCATTTGCAACCCTATGAGTGTTGCAAATTTCCATGGGCGGATTTCACTTAACATTAGGTGAACCGCCAACTCGTTTACCACTGTCTCACATACAAAAATAGTTTTTATTTTTAGTAATTTAGTTAAAACCAGTTAAGGAAATATACGAAGTATTATATTTCCTTAAATAGTTTAAACTAAGGCAAAAATTTCAAAGTATTCGTAATTGATCATTTGCAACTTAGTGTTCAACTTTTTGCTTTATTACGTTAAGTACTTGGATTAACATTAAAAATTAAAATTATAATTGCTTCCGTAAGTGGCAGAAACATTATTTAATAACCGACGAATTTGGATTTTATCAGTTGTAGAATTTTATTATATTCTGAAAGTGAATGTTCGTACAAAGAACTATATAAAACTACGTAATTGACTCCATTTTCTTGGATTTTGAATCTCAAGCTAGGCTATAGGCATAATATGGAAATTGCGCATTTTTTTTTTCAAACATTGTATACATAAAATATAGATCAAACAGACAACAAGCCATAATTATTATGAATCTTACAAAAAAAAAAACTAAATAATTTAGGCAGTGTCAACGAGAAAGCGGTTCATGGGAATGTAAGTGATCATCGCCTTTCATGGACATCCATAGTACCAGAGGGTTTGCAGGAGTGTCTGACCTTTGGAAAGGTAGGCTCCCAGTTACAGCATTTACCAATTCAATTAACTCGAACGTATCCTCCAAATTTTTTGACTGTAGTGGTACGTCCCGGGTGGGGCTGATTGATGCTATTACAGATTTGTTTTTATGCGAAAAAATGTCAAACGAGCCGACGGTTCACCTGATGTTAAGTGAATACCGCCGCCCATGGACATCTGCCACACCCGAGGGTTACAGATGCGTTGACAACCTTTTGAAAATTGGGCTCCGGCGTGTTTAAATTTGCGTGTGTAAATAAGTTCGTAAAGCTCCTCAAATGAGTTTTAAAAGCTCCTCACACTTTTAAAGATCGCAAGATTGTATATTAATTGTATTGTTGGTTGATTATGATCTGCAACTTTAATAAAAAATGTTTTGCATTATTAGCGCCTCAGGCATTATAGGCGACTTTATTGTCATGGGTAATTGTAATTTTTTTGTATAACTGATGTTACGCATTCAGTCCTTAGACTATTAAACTTCATCGTATTATCAATTGTTATTTCCAACGCTATTTAATTAATAACGCTATAGTGTATTTGATTGTTTGTTAAACGACGTAAACAAAAATTCATAACCCAACTGCAATTATATTGTAAGAAGATTACAAATTAATTACAATGTCCTAAAAAGTTTAATTGAGAATTGGGTCAACGCGCGCGAAGGGTGCGGCGATCGGGGGGCGGTGCACGTTCGGATACGCGTAATGACGTTGCAGGAGCATTGCCCCGCGGGCCGCGCGGGCCGTGTCGAGGTTGCATCTGACGTCAGAGCCCCATCTCGAGCGAATCGCAGCCCGCGAGCCTCGGGCTCGAGGCCCTTCTCTTTTCAAATCGTAACGCGCGTAATGTTGTATAACCTGATAAATGGTGACGTCTTTCTTAATTGTAATTCTTTGGCACCAATGAAAATTTATCGACTATAACCTAAATCCATGAATATTGTATAATATATTTAGTCAGTGGTAAAGACACTTTTGTTTTGAGTAATTATTGGATCTGCAATACAACGGTGTTTATCTGAGAATCGAATTGTTCTTCGCCGAACTCTTTATTTCTGAAGATCGTGTCAAACTACAGTCGGTTCCTGTTGGCGTTGTTAAGGGCAATGGCGGATTTCCCCTAAGGCCCAATAGGCCCGGCCTAAGGCGGCAACATATAAGGGGCGGCCAATCGTGACCAAAAATTCACTGATGATAACAGGATATATAATGGGCACTGAGAAAGGGGCGACTGGAACTTACTACATGGGCTGGGGACTAGGGCGTCCAAGATTACAAATCCGCATACTGGTGGTGTCTACTAGTTTTCGCCAGAAGCCTATGTCTTCAGCCTGCCGCAGAGCGATGTTAATAAGCAGTTTAACTACGGCCTTGACCTGGTCGGTCCAGCGGTGTGCTGCTCTATCTCGAGATCTTTTATTGACACACACCCACGAAAAAAAGGTAGAAGACCAATTACATATATTTTTTTATTTTGTGCAAAGTCGGAAAATTTTAATTTATTCTTTTTCACGGCTGCGCATGGATTTATACAAAATGTTTTTGTTATATTATTAAGATGTCATAATATTACGTATACATCCTCTGTAGAAGACACGACTTACAACTTATATACATGTTTATATAAATAGTGTAATATATTGTGTCGAGATATTGTTTTACAAAATTATAAAGAACTTGCATCGGTTGTTTTGTATGTTAAATTGCAGTGCCTTATATGTGATCATAAATTATTTTTAAATTTTGTACTTGTTCGAATCAATGATAGCCACGATATACAGAAGGCACTGTTTACTAAATGTTACTGTTTATTCCACCCTTCTATAAGTATCTATACATCTTAATAAAAAATCGGTATTTTGCATTAAAAGTAATTTTGATATTGTACTTTATAATTATCAATTCGCAAATCAATTCAAAATTTAAATTACCAGTTGCTATCAATATATGTAAGGCTTATGATCACTATGACCAGTGACCACTATTTCAAACCACGGTTATATAAATCTCGGCGCCGCCAATATTTTGTATGCTTTATTCATTTAAAAAAAAAAACGTTATTTTATATGTTTAACTTATTTTTTATATTACGCCGGTTTCCAATTGCTTTTAAATATTACAAGGAAATGTGAAAATATTATAATTAATTAAAATGAAAAGCAGTATAATTAATTACATTCATCGATACATCGAATACGTTAGAATAAACCTAAATTATAAGTTATAAGCTAAACTCTAGATTAAGTGTCTAGGTTAGTTGAATGAAACTTATTAATATTAACATAACTAACGGGACAAAGAAATCTTGTGAATTCATTATAGATCCGACATAATTCTCTGACGTCATTATTTAATACAAAATTGAATAGTTTATAGGAATCTACGTCAACGTCTACGTCAGGATAAGGTGAACGGTTTGGATGGATGAGATTTAGATACATATATTTTTTTTTACTAAATTTATCACTGATCGATTTTGTTATCGGATACAGAGATCACAGAAAAGCAGAGTTTCTCCGCGTTTGCTTAGATACTGACAGGCATAGTGTAGTATACCAAACCAGCGTTTTTTGTAAGGGCTAATGTCGACAATTAGTGTCAATGCAAAAATGTTTTTTTTTTACAAAAAATATATTTTATAAGAATGGCTTTGCCCTTCACTGCTATTCCACGTGATGGTTAGTTGGGATACAGCCGTAGATGGTAAAACACTTGCTTCTTATATTCGGACGAAAAGACATTGTTATTAGTCGTATGAGTATTTAAAAAGCGATTAACTAATAAAACGATTTTTTTACTAGGTCAACGGCCGTTTAGTTTAATTGGCGTCTAGCCGGTCATCCCGTACTCTTTATCACAGGTGTTTGAATCCCGCAGTGCCGAAATCTTTCGATCTACTGCAAACTACAAACATCTACATTCACATTTTAAGTTTCACCTGAGTGCAGAGACTACCTCTTCTATTAGACTTAATCATAACTAATAAAAGGAAAATAATGTTGCGAAAATGTTTATTATCAACTAGCTGACTCGGCAAACATTGTTTAGCCATATAAATTATTTCTAGAGGAATCGGAAGGCACGCATAAAGTGTTTGACAGGATACACAGACATAATTGAGAGGTTGACAGGTACAGTTTGTATTGGAAAATAAAATTGTTGCTATTTCGATTTTCCATGCAATTTTTCCAAAACTGCTTATCGTTTAAACCTACCCTGGACTGCCACAAATATTTCAAAACCAAAATTAACCAAATCGTTCCAGTCGTTCTCGAGTTTTAGCGAGACTAACGAACAGCAATCCATTTTATATATAAGAAGATAAGAATAAGAATAACATGAATGAAAGAATAATAATAATGTGAATTTGGAATGTTTCACAGCTTTCGTTACTATTTACATTATTCAAGGACAAAATATTACAGTTATGCAGAGCAGAACAAGCGTTTACGCGTCTCATATATTTTGTCTTCGATTACAATAAAAACAACGTTCAATGAAGGAAATCACAGGTTTATATTCATGCACACGGAGATGAGTATTGCAATGGAAGGTCAAAGAGATTAAGTCTCGTGTAAGTGGGATAAATAATGCACAGCCACTATTAGTGGCTGTTTCAATATGAAGAAATATTAGTATAAAAAGTTCATGCGGACAATTTATAGTACGTACAGTGAGTGATTTGGGAGTTTAGTATATACATTAATTTTATACATGTAGTAAAAGATAATTTTTCTAGTGAAATTTGGGTAAAAAAGCGAGATACTGTATTATAATTATGTCTTTCTTTCTTCATTTTACTCGGTTGTAAAATTTAGGCAGAATGAAATAAAATGAAAGGGTTAAAGGAATGTCGAGTATAATGCACAGTGAGCATTGGATACTGACTTACTGACATACAATTACGAGTAAGTACATATGAATGGGTGCCGATGCAACTTATAAGAACAGGGTTTCTGTTTTGTCTACTGGGTTGTGACCTATGACATTTGCGTCTGGTCCAGAGCGCCGACGCGGACAGATACAATCAGTCAGATAACGTACATATCGGTTTTTAGTTGGCCAACGGCGTATTTTTCATGGCTGTCTGGTTATTTGGTTTGCAACTAAAACGTCTAATTTTCGTCTCAATTTATTATTTTTATACTATTAGCGTATTTCAGGTTACAAAACCGCGAAAACTGTGACTCTTTCAAGTCAAGATAACTTTAAATAAATTTTAAGGGTAAAAATTTAACTTGTTGCGTTTGAAAGTAACGTTATGATTAGATAAACAGAAACACAAGTTATAGCTCGGGCTGTATGCTATAGCGCGACGTGTGATTTAGTCTTCGGACATCATCACCATTTTTCCGTACGTTACTTGACGTCAGACTGGGAACTGTTTTGCCCGGCAATATCCGCTTTTGTAGGCAGATGAATGTAAATATTTGCATACTGCTGCCTGGCTGCGGAGTTTGGCTTGGGCTTATGAGAGAAATTTGGCTCGGCTATTTGTAACCTTGCACATGCCGAAATGTCATAACAAAAGCAAGGTTTCAATTAACGTTGTAAGTGTAAAATAAAATGTATAGTAAGCATTTATGACGCACGCATGTTCTCTTATCTACTTATTGACCTCGTTTAGTTAACATTACAAATACAATAGTCTAATTTGAATAACAGACGTCACTTTGTTGTAATGGAAGGCATATAATTACTGTCTCTCCTCTTTTTCATAATAACTAAAATGAAATGAATTAGCATTTGCTATATATATTTATCAAATAAAGGATTTAAAATTTTTGTAGGCATTTCCGTAAATTCCATAAAAAGGTTATAAATTATAAATACAAGTCTGCTCCTTAAAATGGTAGGTATATCAAAAGGTCAGGTTCTGCTCACGTCTAAAATTTTACAAGCGTGTCAAAATTATAAGCAGATTAGCTTAAGCATATATGAATTTTTAACAGAAAAATTGCTTATTGTTTTGTTTTTAAGATTAGCTCGACCAAATTTATAAACGTGAAGGATAAAATTAAAGTGTCGATTAATATCCACGACATACGAACACCGAAGCTACGTGATAGGAATTTGTCTCTGTAATGACAACCAATAAATCCACTCCCTGGTACTATGTATAAGTCGGTTTGCATTGAAGGATATTCGTGTTGACTACAAATCAAAGCAATTAATAAATCGCACTTTAAATAGTGCTAAAATAGAGTATCCCGCGAACCAGTTTTCATATTACCTCCGATAACTCGCCATTATTTCTTATCTCAATAAAAATATAATTGCAATTACGTAAGTTACAATGAGTAATGGTGACGTTTTTGTACATTTATACAGCTGCTAATAAGCTAACGGACTAATGGGAGCTAATTAATTTTCAATGTAATACGTGTACAGCTCAGTGACCGGGCACTCGCTTTTAATTCAATGTACTTCAGCAACCTACGTTACTGGAGTATATTGAATTAAAACCTTCGATCCCCAGTGCTGCCAATAATGAAATTGTCAATTTTAAGCGCCGACTTATTACGTGCTCAGCGGCAAAGGGGAACATCCTGAGAAAACCTGCATATTTCCAAAATAAATAAAAAAATATTTCGAAAATATTTGAAGTCTGTTAATCCATATTTGGGTCGCGTGGTAGTCTGTTGCCAGGAGTGGGACATATATAGGGTTTTACTTTACTTAACATGTACACTTTCTAATTCGATGTAATTTTAGTCATTGATGCATGTAAGACTATGGATTATGAAGTAAGAATGTGGAAGTAAGAGTGTATGTAAGAATAGGGATTGCGGTATAGTTTAGAATAGTTAGTTACACAAGTGCGGGCTAATCCGGGAAATTACCAGGACCTCACAAAGAAAGTGGAAGTATTATACTTTCGTGTTCCATCCAGTTAGTGGGGTTAACCAAACCGGGAGGGAACCGGGCCCACTATGATTTAAGTTAACATCGCATCTACAATTGACCAGGAATTTACATTGTCCATCTGCGGCGATAGTCACTTAAGATCTTGTGAACTGTCTATTTGTTTCCCAAATTTTTTCATAAAAAAAATATATATTTTACTACGGACCAAGGAAACTTCACTGGATCTCCTCTAGTTTAATCAGAAGATTGGCAGATAATATTATATTACATATTATATTTATATAAGATACAGTCATTTCTGCATCTTTAAAAATCTTAATTAAAACCTAATATTGATATAATGGTCACCGGACATAAATTATAAATAAATATATACAAAATAACTTTAAATCTGCGGTAGGGCCACGCAACAGTCGTCATTGTTGTCCGTCCGGGGGAGTACCACAACCTTACAGACGACGGATGTGTTGCTGCACTTCTGCATTTCGTTTGGGAACGTTTCGTTCCTTTATTAAAAGGCGCCAACACATCTGCACCCTACGGGCGTGGCAAATGTCCAACATGGGCAGCAGTTATCAGGTGCCAAGTAAACAGTAATCAGGTGAACCGCCAGCTCGTTTGCCATATTCTCACTTAAAAAAAACAAGCACCTCTTGTCCCAATCTAAGCAACGATTGTACTATGGGTATAAAATAGCTAATGAATATACTTCTTAATAAATACATGGTATAAATGTGTAAACACCCAGACACCGGAACTACACTATTTTCATCGCACAAAATTTAACTCGTTTTATGCCTTCGTATTTCCTAAATATAAAATACTAGCTGCTACTCGCGACTACGCCTGCGTAGAATAGGCTAAAGGCGTAACATTCAGACAGAAATGTGTACATAAATTATAGCCTGTCTTGTTCTGATGTATAAGCTATATTATTCATAAAAATCCATTCAATAGTATTTGCGTGAAAGAGTAACAAACATCCATCCATACATACAAACTTTCGCGTTTATAATATTAGTAAGGATACGCACCGTCTTGGAAACAATATGTTCTTCTAGTAAGCAAAAAACATGCGTCTCCCATCTTCTGAGAAACTTCGCAGCAAGAATTTTGTCCACGACAGTCCTCGTGTGCTGGAAGCAGCAAACTCTCAATGTGCCTTCTTTGGCTAGCTTGTAGCGTGGACCGGGCGGTGGCACGGGGGCTCCCGCCGAACTGGAGCTTTCAAAGCTGCTGGTATCAGCACAGCATTCAGGACTTGAACCCTGGAGGCGAAAAAGAAGATAATGAATAATACAGATACAAACATTCCAACGGTTGTGGAAAAATCGATAATAATAGAACTGTTGAATAGTTATTGAAGTTGAAAGCAATTTTAAAATTTCTGTTTGATGTGGCGATTCTAAATTTAAATATTGCCACGTGGTGGGAATCCACGATTTTCATGCCAACCGTAGTCATTCGATCGTTTATCTGTCACGAGACGTCAAAATTGTAAGCCGGATGAAGACGGATTGCGTAATAGAATCGGTTATGCGTAGGAAAAGGAACGATAATCTAAAAATAAGCTCTCATCTATTTCTACTGTCATAAAAATGAACGAACACTCTTAAGCTGTTTAGGTAAAAACGGTGTGTGGGTGAGAAAAAGGTACGTAACAACGTGTAAAAATAATCATTAGATCTTGATTAATTGTTATATATAGAACATTATATTATTTTAACTTTTACGACTGAGAATGCCTATAGGTTTATTATTTATTTCGTGAAATAAAAGTTCTGTCATTAAATCAGCCACATTAAGGGAAATCATGACGTATTATTGCAGCTAATAATAATTTTGTTCTCAATTTTTGTGGTCACGCTATCTTATGCGGTCTGATTATAAGAAATAAAAAAAGGACAATTTTCCTCCTCACTTCGTTTACGGTTTGAGAAATGTATCCGGGTTTAACCCGAATGAATTGGTTTAATGATACTTGAGGTAATATGGAGTGTTATTAGTGCAGGTTGGAAGAGTCGCTCAGGCCACAGGCTTTGACGTATCGTTTCGATGGCTTTACTAGAGACTTGTTCTTACAATTTACATCCAGGCCTCCAACAATTAGGGAACTTACTTACAAAAAAATGACATTTAAAGTTTAACTTAAATTGTGAAGTTTTTTTGTAGATAAACTGAGCTAAGTTGTTAGAGCGTCTAGACGCGTTGCGTTCGAGGTTTGACGTAGCGTATTTTGACATTTTATCTAAATAAGTTTTCAAATCCATTTTTAAGTTTTCTCTACATGGTAAATCTATGATCATCTTATACATAATAGTATCTATCTAAGCTTATGACAATACAATGGTTAGTTAATCTTTAAAAATTCATAAGTTTATAGGTAATTTCATATATAACTGGCTAGGACCGTTGGTTTGTGCCGAAGCGGTTTCTCATAAAAGAATTTTAGTAATTTTTTTGATACTTGCATTACTTGTATTCAAGGCCTAACATTTTAAGGTTATAGGTTGTTGTCTCTGTAATGAGTTCCAGGCAAAATTTTTCATCGTTTTTTTAAATTCTATAATACATATATATAAGTACAGATAAAATTAAACAGACAAAAAGTCAGCAATTAATGTATGGTTTTCAACATATTCCTTTGAATGTATTCTCGCTTTCTATCCAAATGGGCTTAATAATTTTGACTTTTCCACGATAGTGGAATGTACAAAGGTGTACGCAATGCGTTTTAATGCTACTAAGTGGGCTCATGTTAGCCACGCTAAAGGCTCCAAGGAAGAAATACATCAATAACCTTTCTCTGTATCAGCAAACGTTAAGGAAAAGACCAAATAACGAAGCTGGTGCTTCTTAGTCTTTCACCTCCAGAACCAAACAGTTCTCTTTAGTAGAGTCTCCTCATTTTCCGTTGTGGGACACAAGGTGATTGATGGGTCAACTTTTATGTAATAACTGCCGGAATGTGTAACGAGAGAAGCTGCCAACAGTCGCGGTGATGTGTCGAGTACATAATTGTATCGTTATACAGCTATAGCTAAGAGGAAATTGGGGTTTGGCCTCCATTGGCTTATATATTTATAATGAGGATGGTAAAATAATAGTAATACGAAAAACACAACCCAAAATAAAACCCCAACATAAAATAAAAAGATGCGTACTTCTTTTTGCTATTAATATTTCGGTCCAGTCGTAATTGAACCAGATGTCAGATTTGGTTATCGTCAGTTTCTCTATAGTGGTCTGATTTAGACAATTATTGAAGCTTCGATTATCTTGCTGCGATGTATTTTGGGTTTCTAAGATTAATTGAAATTAAAAAAAATAAGAATGCAATAAAATCTGTTGATAATAAACGAATGGTATTTAAGTTTATTTTGCTAATCATAAAACTGATTTTCGTTAGCTTTCCTTACTTCTTCAGCGTAACAAAAGAAACATAACTAAAAAATATATTCCCTGTGCCAGTAGTCTTTGTTTGTGAAAGATGATTTGTTGCAATTTGATGATGACATTTAATGCAATTGATAACGGTTTAAATAAATAATTTGGAATTATAGTTAAAAGTTATTATTGGTTGCCACGTTAATACCGTGAAGTTGATCTTTGCCACCAACTTCATCATGTTGCTTTTAACAGTCAATATGCGCAAGCATTGTAAAAATTTTACTCTTGAACTTTTTCCAAGAATGCAAATATTTAAAAAAATTACAACTTCAATAAAACAGAATTTTACTTTGCGTCGCGGAAAATTTGCTATAAATTTATTCGCTTAACTACAACAACACCATAACTAACAAATAGTTACCTAAATAATTATTAAGAATTAAAATAAAGTTAAAAATAAGTACTTTTGTCACGAACAAATCAACAAATCAAGCTTCAAATAAGATTTATACACCTGCTATGGCGGCACCTTAAACCTTAAAGGGCCTGGGAGAAATCCGTAATAGACACATACGTTGTCCCAACTTAGACTACTCAATGGATAAAAGCTCATTTTTAGGGCTCCGTACCTTAAAAGGTAAAATAGGAACCCTTATAAGATCACTCTCTTGGTATCTAAGTATATCCTAAGATTTTCTCAGGAACGGGTGGACCAGTCAATTCAAACGACATTACAAGAATAAATCAAAGCTTTTCTCTTTTTTTCTGATTCTATAAGGACTGAAAACATAAAACTGGAAAATAAAAGTGAGTTTAATTTGTATACCTTTACACATAGTTTTCATTACTTTCCGCTTACCATCATGTCATTGACGCCAAATCCATCAAAAATCGGGCATCATGCCTAATTAATTAGAAGTATTCAATTCAAAAAGTTTTCAATTATGTGGCAAAAAAAAAATGAAATAGCAGTGAATAAGTAAGTATGTATGTTTACAAATGTGCAGTAATTCGACGTCGGTCGGAAGAGTTTTTGACTGCTCACAAAGCATTAACCTAATAACCATAGCTATTAACGAGGGGGAGATAACGTTAGTTCGAACCGTTTGCGTCACTCCTTTATGAATAATACAGAAAAACTAAGAGCAAACATCATTTTCATCAACCCCGATGGTCATATGTTAGTGCGTAGCTTATCTTTGGTGCCTCTAAGGGTCGGCTGACACGATTTCAAATTTTAATTCGAGCGTGCAAAAACAATAAATTTCTTGTCAATTGTTGACGCTATGCTATTTTATGCGGTTTGAAATTAAGTAATATAATTAAGTAAAAGTTACCTCCTACGTTTGCGGTTTGAGAAAAGTATCAGGGTCTAACCCGAATGAATTGGTGTAATGATGCACGAGTTGAGATGGAAACATTTTTTTGGTATTAGTGTAGGTCGGAGCAATCGTTCAAGTTTAATTGTTCTATTGTATCCTATATCAGTCCTGGGGACACAAACAAATCACTGAATACAAAAATGTCATTAGTGTTCCAAACATCTTTCCATTCTAGTATTAGGTCATACTACAAAAACGAATGAAACGGGGAATTTGAATTTGATTTGTTAATTTTGTTAATTACTTGATGATGTTACGATTAGGCTCATAGACTCGTTTCCTTTTATAATTTTTTAAGTAATACTTCTTTACGCACTAAGACACATATAAGTTAGTGAAGATGGAAAGAGACAGAGCGTTTCGTAAATTATAATTTATAACGTATCTGTAGAGGCAAGAGAGAGAGGGGCGAGCTCACATTTTCTTTCTCTCTTTCTCTCATAGCCAGTTACGTTTCATATATTTAACACACTGTATCTAAGACTGTGGTATAAAAAAGCTTGCACTTTTTTCTACCACAGATTATTAAAGTTTATCATCAATAGTATATCACTTGTGTCAATTGTTAATTGGATGTTTGAGACTAATATTATCGAAAATTGTATTGGAAACGCGTTACGGCGATCACGCGTTTACATAGCTTCCGCTTTATTTACTTTTATTTTGTATATATAATTATGTACCTGAAGTAATCTGAAATCTCTGATTAAAATAAAAAAATCTGAAATTGAAAATAAAACAATATCAATAATTTATTATTATTTAATGCATTAATGTTAAATAAAAATACTTAAATTAAATTATTATTAACTACCTATTTAAATTTTTTTTAAAGTTTTACGTCAGCCACGTGTAAAGGTTACACGCCCCCTTTAGTTTAATATTCATTACTAAAGATCCGCCCCGGCTTAACAGGTGCAATGTGTTATACATATAAACCTTGCTCTCTATCTAGTAAAAAAACCACATCAAATTCCGTTAAGTAGTTTTAAAGATTTAAGTATATATAGAGACAGGCAGACAGCGGGACGACTTTGTTTTATACTATGTTGTGATACTCGTAAGTCACACCGCTTTAGAGAACCAAATAGTGATTTTTAGATACGCAATTTGATCTGTCGCTTATTCAAATTCTCTCAAAGTTTGGAGAAATTTACGGATTGATGGACCTAGCGAGCATTTATAATATTAAGGTATTGCAATCATCAAACATCAAACCCTGTCACTCTATTCTTAAACAGCATACTAACATTTACGATGTAAGAAAAGAAAAAGTTTTCAATGAAACAATAATTACAACATTAATACAAAAATTGCGATAACAGTAGGCAAAAAGAAATAACATGTAGAGTACATTTGCTGCAATGCACGAAATATCTGTTTTGACGTCACCCACGACCTTGTACTTGAAGCTCCACTGGCAGATAAATTTATTTTTAAATGTATAGTTAATATTATTAAAAGAATGGAAAGTTTAAGCTACTGCATGTAGCATA